CCCCCGCGCGACTCAGAAACCCTCGCGCGGTCCCCGCGCGATCCCGAACCCCCGCGCAGTCCCTGAAGCCCAAAGAAGTCCCCAGAAATTCTCCACATTTCGAGCCCTCGGCCCCGAGAGGCTCCCTGAAGGAACCACGAGGCCACCAAGAGGCCCCAAAGAGGCCCCCAGAGGCCCCCAGGAGGACCCCAGGAAGCCCCCCGAGAGGCTCCCGAAAGGCCGCCAAGAGGCTCCCAAGAGGCCCCTAAACTTGTCCCCCAAGAAGCCCCCAGAGCGCTTCGAAGAGACCCCCAAAAGCATCCATGAGGACTCCGACCCACGCCAGAGTGGTGGTCGTTGCCGCCGCCGCCGCCGCTGTCGTCGTTCCCTCTCGGGGTCGGCGGCATCGGCCGCAAGGCCTTCGCAAAAATTTCAACTTCTTGAACGGCAACGTCTGCTTGAGAACGCCAGCTGCACACCGACACTGACCACGGTCAGCCCAGGCCCCTTGGGCCCAAGATCGGTGTATGTGCCTGAGCCTGGCCAGGGCCAACAAGGCATACATGGCGGCGGGCCCCTGCCGTGGCGGCGTCAGCCTTGGCTTGCGACCCCAGGTGACTTGCTGTGCTTTCTGAATGCGGAGCACGAGGCCCACTTTATACCCCCAGGGACGCACGCCACATCGAGCACGGTGAAGAAAACAACAGACGTCAGCGGGAAATCCCCCACGCGGACCCTTAACATCAGACAAGGAAGCACTAGGAACGCCCAGCGGCCAAAAATGCGGTCGTACTAGCGACATGGCGGTCGGGGCGATCAAAGGCGGTCAGGGCGATTTCAAACGATATCCGCTGCTGGAGGCCCCAAGAAGCTCAAACCCACATCCTTCGCATCGACTCCGCAGCGCGAGGTGCTCCCTGCGGCTCCTGAGCCCGCGCCCGGCCCGCTCCCACCGGGCAACGAGGAGCACACTGCCCGACAGCCCTGCGCGCGTACCACCACAGTGGCGCGATGCTGCCCCGAAGCGTGCACCAGAGCTAGATGCGGCCAGGGGCCTGCGCTGGATGGCTCCATGAAAATCGAGCAACCTGGAGGGCTGACGACTCGGCGCGGGCCCGTCGCACCAGCTGCCCGCCTGAGCAGTTTCCGTGCCCTCCCCCACCCCCTGCCCCGCCTGACACCAATGACGACCCCAGGGTGACCACCCCGACGGCGCCGCAGACGGCAACGACCACACCTGGGCCAGTCCCCTCCCCTGTTGAGGCCCAAGACTCTCGATCATCACGGCTCCATGGCGACCTCCTCCTCCTCCTCCTTCTCCTCCTCCTCTTCCTCCTCCTCCTCCTCCTCCTCCTCCTCATCCTCTTCCTCCTTCTTCGTCTCCTCCTCCTTCATCTCCTCCTCGTCCTTCATCTCCTCCTTCCCCCTCCTCCTCCTCCTCCTCCTCCTCATCCTCCTCCTCCTCCTCCTCCATAATCCCTTCCTCCTTCATCTCCTCATCTTCCTCCTGATTGTTTTCCTCCCATTCCTGCTCCTCCACTTATTCCTCCTTCTCTTCCTCCTCCTCCTCCATCATCCCTTCCTCCTTCATCTCCTCATCTTCCCCCTGATTTTTCTCACCCCCGTTCCTCCTCCTCCACTTATTCCTCCTCCTCCTCCTCCTCCTCCTCATCATCATCATCATCATCATTCTCCTCCTCCTCCTCCATTGTTATCTCCTGCTCCTCCTCCTCCTCTTCCTCGTCCTTCTCCTCCTCCATCTCCTCCCTCTCCAGTCCCTGCTCCTTACAAGCACCTCCTCCCCGTCACTCCGAAGCTGGTCGAAAGGCCGGCACAGGCGTTTCGCCGGAGACTTCCTCATCATTTATGATCCTGGAGTTTCATATCCGTGCTCTCGCCATCGCACCGTACACATCCGTTTCAAAAACTGGAAGAGCTTCACGGATAAACGGCGGGCCGTTTTCAAAATAAAGCTCTCGCCGCAGCGACGCGCATACTCGCTCTAAACATTTGCAAGAGCTTCGCAGATGGAGGGCGTTTTGTTTCAAAATGTGGCTCTCGCTTTAGCGCCGCGCACAGTCGTTTTAAGAGGTTACAACAGTTTCAAGAATTTCACGGCTTACGTCCCAGGAAAGCGTTTTGGCACGATGTCGAATTGTCGGGCGCAACACTTACGTTGGTTCGTAATGATGAAGGCCCAGGAATGGCGTTCTGGCACGATTCAGAATCATCAAGACGCAAGCATGATGGTAATTCGCGGCGCTGAAGTCCCAGAAATGGTTTGTTGGCAAAGCTCGGGAGTTTCAAATGATTGTCTTCCAACGGGGCAATTCCTTCAGTGCAAATGAATCCTTGTATGGGACAAATAATGAAGGAACCTGGAGGGAACGTGAACTGCAATATCGTTGGTGAATTCTGCGTTTACACTGGCCCTCCTCACCCCCACCTCCTCCTCCTCCTCCTCCTCCTCCTCCTCCTCGTCCCTCCCCTCCTCCTCCTCCTCCTCCTCCTCTTCCTCCTCCTCCGTTCCTCCTCCTCCTCTTCCTCTTCCTCCTCCTCCTCTTCCTCCTATTCCTCCTCCTCCTCCGCCTCCTCCTCCTCCTCCTCTTCCTCCTCCTCCTCCTCCTCCTCTTCCTCCTCCTCCTCCTCATCCTCCTCCTCCTCCTCCTCCTCTTCCTCCTCTCATCCTCCTCCTCCCTCCTCCTCCTTTTCCTCCTCCTCCTCCTCCGTTCCTCCTCTTTCCTCTCCTCCTCCTCCTCCTCCTCTTCCTCCTCCTCCTCCTCCTCCTCCTCCTCTTCCTCTTCCTCCCCCTCGTCCTCCTCCTCCTCCTCCTCCTCCTCCTCTCCTCCTCCTCCTCCTCCTCCTCCTCATCATCATCATCATCATCCTCATCATCATCATCCATCATCATCATCATCATCATCATCAATCATCATCATCATCATGTTCCTCCTCCTTCTCCTTGTCCTCCTCCTCCTCCTCCTCTTTCCTCCTCCTCCTCCTCCTCCTCTCCTCCTCATCCCATCCTCCTCCTCCTCCTCCTCCTCCTCCTCCTCCCTCCTCCTCCTCCTCCTCCTCCTCCTCCTCCTCCTCATCCTCCTCCCTCCTCTCTCCTCCTCCTCCTCCTCCCCTCCTCCTCCTCCTCCTCCTCCTCCTCCTCCTCCTCCTCCATACATGTTTCTTATAATTCATGTCATTATTCTTAGTATGGTTAGTATGATGTTTTGTGCTGTTATTGTATCAGTATTATTAGTAGAATCACGATTATTATTGTTATTATTATTAATATTATTAGTTTTATGATTAGTATTATTATTAGTATTATTATTAGTATTATTAGTATTATTAGTATTAATATTATTAGTATTATTATCATTCGTATTAATAGTATTACTAGTATTAGTATTAGTACTATTATTCTTAGAATCAGTATTAGCGTTAATATTATTAGTAGTAGTAGTAGTATGAGTAGTAGTAGTAGTAGTGGTAGTAGTAGTAGTAGCAATAGTAGTAGTAGTAGTAGCACGAACAAAGAATAGTACTAGTATTATTAGTGATATTATTAGTAGTAGTAATAATATTATTAGTAGTATTAGTACTAGTATCAGTATTATTAGTACTATTATTAGTAGTAGAAGTATGAATATCATCATTAGTATTAGTGTTACTTTTATTACTATCATAAATATCAGTATTCGTACTATTAGCAGTATCATTACTATGAATATTAGTAGTGGTGATATTATCATTAGTGTTATTAATACGAATAATGGTATTAATATGATTAGTATTAGTAGTATTATGACTACTAGTATTATTAATATTATTATGTGCCGTATTCATATTATTTGTAGTAGTAGTAGTAGTAATATTAGTATTAGTAGCAGCAGTAATAGTAGTGTCAGTATTAGTTTTAGTGTTCGTAGTAGTATTAGTATTAGTAGTATTAGTAGTATTAGTAGTATTAGTATTAGTGTTAGTATAAGTAGCAGTAGCAGTATTACTATTAGTAGTAGTAGTAGTATTAGCATTAGTATTCGTATTCGTATTAGTAGTAGTAGTATTAGTATTAGTATTAGTAATGGTATTAATATTAGTAGTAGTAGTAATAATAAGTAGTATTAGTAGTAGTCGTAATAATAGTATGGCATGTGTTTTACTACTCTTATATGCCTTATGAGTATGATTACTAGTATTAATATTGTTCTGAATGGTGTTAGTATAATTCTTTTTCGTCAAATTATTATTCTGCATAATAATATGCTTATTCTGGATATTCGTATTATGTTTATGTTTTTCATGCTTCTTCGTAGTAGTCTTCTTATTAGTAGTATGGTGTATTGTTGTTGTGTTTCTTATTCGTATCCGTATTATTAGTATTATTAATATTAGTATGAATCGTCATATTACTATTATGTGCAGTATTCGTATTATGTTGCTTATTACTCGTAGTACTCTTCTTCGCTCTATTATTATCATTATTCGACTTATGGTTGCGATTATTATTGTTCTTATGATTAACAGTTTCAGTCTTAGTAGTATTGTTGGTACTATTCTTGTTCACATTATCATTATTATTCGCATTCGCATTCGTATTAGCTTTCGTTATAGTATTCAAATTATTGTTGTTATTCTGTGTGTTCATACTTGTGTTAGTACTATGATGATCATTCGTATTAGTACGATTATTGTTATTATTTGTATTAATAATATTATTAATAATATTATTCCTCCTGCTCCTCTTCCTGCTCCTCGTCCTCCTCCTCCTCCTCTTCCTCCTCTTGTTTTCCTCCTCCTCCTCCTCCTCCTTTTCCTCCTCCTCCTCTTCCTCCTCCTCCTCCTCCTCCTCCTCCTCCTCCTCCTCCTCCTCCTCCTCCTCCTCCTCCTCCTCCTCCTCCTCCTCCTCCTCCTCCTCCTTCTCCTCCTCCTCCTCGTCCTCCTACTCCTCCGAATTGTCCCTGCGCTCCTCGTCCTGTTCTCGTCCAGCCCGAGTGACGACGTCCCCGCTCGCCCCGGGCCGCCTTGCCGCACCAGGGCTTCACCGGCAGGGGCATCTCCGCCAGCCGCGCCGCGGGCGGCTCCTTGCGCGAGCGCGTGGGCCGCACCGACCAGGGCTTCCCCGAGGGGCAAAGGAAGAGGGGGGGGGCGCCCCCAGGACGGCGGGCGTCGCGACGCGTTTCTGCGGAGAGGGTCGTGCGAATCCCCAAACATGCCCGCGTCGCAAAAAATCAAGACGGTAGTTTTTCGCCGCTTTCGGCCCGCAGGGGCCCTCGCTGGGCCCGGGGGCCGCCAAAAAAAAAACAGCCCGTGGTGAAAAACTGGCCATGGGGAAAAGGTCGGGACTTCCGGGGACCTCGCATCGAAAAAAAACAAACATGACACGTCTGGGGGGATCTCTCTGGCGCGACGCGGGCGGGAGGAAGGGATGAGGGGGAGGGGGGAGGCATGGGGGGGCAGGGGGGGGGAGCGGGCAGTGAGAAGGGGAGGGGGGAACGAGGAGGGAGGGGAGAACGGAAAAGCATCGAGGGAGGAGGGGAGACGGAAGAGGGATGTGGCAGGAGGGAGAAAGAAGAAAGGATGAAGGAGGCAAGAGGCAAAAGGCGGCGGGAGGGGGGAAACAGAAGAAGCATGGAGGAGGGAGAAGAAGGGGGGGGAACCCTCCATCGCCCCCCACGGACGCGAACCTGGGGAAGCCCTGCGGAATCGTTTTTGCCCCCCCCCCCCCACCCCACCACCACCACCACCACCACCCCACCACCACACCACACCCCCACAACCTCAACAAGAAATATGCCGCAACAGGCGAGGCGGAGCCGTCTGCAAACTGCGCACGCCAAAACGGACAGCCTTCGGAGCCCCAGGGAGACACCAAGGGGACACACAGGGGCCACGCGTCAAGGCCGCAGAGCGGGGGAAGCGGCGGCCACCCACGCCTGCGCACACGGGAACAGCCCGCGCCACGCGGCGACAGATGCGACGCAGTCGCCCCCCTACCGAAGAGAGGCCCGCACCACACCTCGCGGCAAAGTGGCGGGGTCTGCACCCTGGTAGGGACCGCCGCCCTCGAGGGCCCAGGGGGCGCCAGCGACGGGGGGGGGCACCTGCCAGGCTAGACGGACGCAAGGCTCATCCTGGCCTGCGCCAGGGGCAGCGGCAGAAAAGATGCGGGGCGGAGGAGCCAGCATCCACGCCGCATGGGCCACAGAGCCACACATTGAAAGAAACTAGAACTAGACCAGGGCAACACGGAAGCACCCACAGGTACAAAAACAGCTCGTCGAAGCTCTCGTCGATGTCGTCTGTCGGCTTCACTAGAGGGCCCTCGCCCTCCTCTGCGCGGAGGTCGCGGGCCATTCGCAGAAGCACCTGGGCTGTGAGGCGCATACATTTCGGCATGGCGAGAATCGCAAACGGATGGACATCCTCGAAGCGGGACGGCCCCCGTCTGAACTCGGCACGAAACACATCGGACTCGGACCTCGCACTCGGAAACCCAACAAAAGAGGCGGAAGGGGAGCCCCGACGCGCGCCCGCCGACTGCCAAGGAGCCCCCGCCACACAGTGCACCCGCAACACTTCCTCGGGGGAAGGGGGGGCCCGAGCGGCACGCGCGAGCTTCGGATGCGAAGGTGGCAACCGCATCTGGCTGAAGGTCCGCGTAGCGAAGGGGGCGAGAGACCCGCCGATTGGACCCCCGCGACAACCCTCCACACCCAGCCCCCAAACTCAGAGACCGGCCCGGAGCACTTCTCCTCGAGGCCTTGTGCAACGACAATGGGAATTGCAGAATTTGCGCCGAATGCGCAGAAGCATGGTGGCTCCGCCACTAACGTATAAAGAAACACAGCCATGCCCGAAATCTGAAATCAGACTGCCTCCCCGGCCTCGAATGGCGAGGACGTTCGCGCCGAGGCGGCCCGTGGATCTTCACGCGGCAAGACACATGTCCAAGACGATCCTCGAACCCTCCAGTCAAGCATGTTGGAGGCCTCGATGGGCACCGAGGCTCGACGGGCGCAACGTCTTCTTCTTCTTCGCCAACATCGCGCAGGGAGGGGAAGGAGGAAGTAGGGGCAAAGCCCACATGCTAACAGTTCTAGCAAACTCTAGATGCTTCCCAAGAGTTCCCCCGCCCCCTAAGATTCCCCGCCCCCTTCGTCGATGGGATGCCTGGCCACAGCGGATTTGGCCGCTCTGTCCGGCCGTCGCCCCCCCGACGCCAAAGAAACCAACTCGCCGCGATCGCTGGGGCCATCCGATGACTGGCAAGCCCGACGCGCGAGACATTCCGCATCGAACCATAACTGCCCCCACGCCTGGCCTACAGGACACGGCCCGCGCGGGCGCCCTGCCCAGGGGGGCGGTTGGCTCGGGGGAGGGGGCGAGACGCGGGAACGCCCACGCAATCAGACACCAGGAGGCCCGGGCCCCCAACCACTTCGAAAGCGGAGAAGGGGCAAACTTCGCCAAGCCGGCGCGCTGGAAGCACGCAGGCCCACACGGGACCAGCGACGCGGCAAACCGAATCCCTGGGCGGAGCACAAGCCACGAGATCCCACTCTCCTGACGCAGCAGCCGCGAATAACATTGCGACATGGAATAATATCAGGCTGGGGGGGCCCGCGCACCCAGCGACGCCCCGCGCATCTTTGCCAAACAGAACGGGCGGGGAATGCTATCGCGCGGGCGCGGGAAGGCTCCTCTAGCGGCCGTGAATAGGAGGGCCGAACTGGCAACGTCGACGTTGTCGAACCTGTTCTGCCTCAGCCCTCCACAGTCGCAGTCGGGGCGAGGGCGCTTCAAAACGCGGCGGCAAATGCCGGCAGCAAGCCCAAAGCATAAACCGAACGCGAGGGGGATCTGCCACCCACGAGAACGCGCGGTCAACCGCGCCCACACCGCTCCTGTCGCAAACGCCCTCGGAGCGCCCTTCTGGATGTGGGGCGCGCTCAAGCCGATCCGGCGCTCGAGGACGCTGAAGAAAGCCCAGCGATAATAAGGCCCAAGCAGGGCAGGAAAAGAAACGGGAGCTCACGGGCGCCCCCCAAATCGTTGACTGACTTGTTCGACTGCTGCATATCCCAGCCGAGAGCGGGCCCGAAACACACCTCCACGCTGCGACAGGGGGCCGGGCGGAATTTCCCTCGGCGCGACTAGGAAAACACCCGAAGTTATTTGCGCCACCTGCGGCACACGAGCCACATGCGCGAGCCATGCTGGGTCGGGCCCCAAGAGCACGAGCGCGCCGACCGAGCGCCGGCCGGCAGGAGGTCCCACAGCCCCGCCACGGCCGCGTCTCAAAGCACGCAAGTCGCCAGAGGAAACACCGAGACATTCGCACATATAGTTGGCGACAGGGAACGGCCCAGCAGCCCAGAGACGCTTCGCTCTAAGACTCAGGGCCCGAGAAAGCCTGGTGGGGCAAGAAGTTTTGGCGGCCCCACCCCCCCCCTACGTTCGGCGCGAGCGCCCTTCCTCCGCGACGCAGGGGGGGGGGGGGGGGGGGGGGGGGCAACGGCGCCGCCGACGCCGAGGTCGATGCTCGCGGAAACGAGAGGCCCCGACAGCTCGGAGCAAAGAGAGTCCTGGATCTCCAGACCTGCGGCGCGCGAAGAGCAAATACGGCATCGACGGCCGCGCGTCGCTGCCTCGAGAGCACGAGCTCCCTCGACACACCTGGAACAACATCCCCGCGAGGACCGATGGCCGATGCCGAGACACTATCGACGAAAAGCTTCAAGTTCGCGCTGCAGCAACGAAAGCAAGACGAGTCGGCGGCAAGGACAAACTGCCCAGCCTGCTCGGCGAACGGCGGCCGCGAGAGAAGGGGGGCACAGGGAGGGCAGCAGCAGCAGCATCAGACAGCGGCCGCCGGACGCAGGGGAGGCAACGCGGTTTACCCCTCGGTTTCGTTGTCGCGTTCGTTCTGGTGTCCTGGATGCGTTTCCTTCTTCTCTTTCCTGGGTGGGAGCCTGGGGCCAACTTGACCTCGAGGCCACCTGTCTGGGGTTCTCAAGCGGAGGCGCTGCGTTCACCCCATCGTTCCTGGCGCGCTTTTCTCACGGCGAGGGCATTGGATAAGGGGCCGATGGGCCGGGGATCCAGGGTCTAGGCCGGTAGAGCTTCGATCGCGAATTGGCCATGGATGTCACCGCCGCCCTAATTAGGTAAGGCATCCCCCAGGGTCTGAATCCTCCTGGACACATTCCTTCACCAACGCCCCCCCCCCCACACCACCACCGAATAGACGGGAACCCCGCGCGGGCTTTGGGGCGTCGCGGGCCCGCCCCCCTGCCCCTCATCTCCGCCCTTCCTCGCCCCCTCTTCCCGCTGCTGCTTCTGCGTGCTCTGCGGCGGAGGTGGGTCCGCAGCATCCATGCTGCTCTCGAGACTGGAACGGGCGCCCAGCGTCGCCGTCGCGGTCGCCGCCGTCGCTGCCCCGCCTCCGCGAAGAGTGCTTGCAGACAGTCCGACGTGACCCCCCCCCTTTCGGAGCGCCCTCGAGAATCACGGCTGGGCGCGGGCTGGGAAACTATCGGGCGAATCAGGGACGTTCGGGAGAAACCGCGCAGTTAGGCGCAGTGGACAATGATCCCATATGTCGATTGGTTATCAGCCGAAATAGCGAGTCACTGCAGACCACCGAAGCGGCGCCCGCTAGCGCACTGAGCCTGTGCATGTACAGGCTGTCAACATGAGGATGTCGGACTCCCTGGCAGCGAATCTCGAGGCCGTGATCTCGGGCGCCTCGCTTGAGGTTGAAGAGGCCGCTGACGGCTACGCATTGACGCGCGAAGTCAGCCGTCGCCGCAAAGGCTGGGGCGGATCGAAAAACTGATGATGAAAGTGACGCCCCTGCACCATGAAACGTCGATACACCGACGCCCGCAAATTGCGCATATGGCGGGGGCAATGCCTCTGGCAAACCTGGCGTCACGGGCGATGCGTTAGGGGGACCTAGCGCCGCGGGCGACGCGCTCGGGAAACTTGGCGCACTGGGAAGGTCGGCCGCGTTCTGGATCGACTCGGGAGAGCCGGGGTATAGAAGGGGGCCACATGCCCTACCCCTTCGACAACGCGC